TCAATAAATGACCCTCTTTTTCACATCCTGTGCTGTAAATCAGGCATAGAGATTATTTATTACATGAACGCTTTTGACAAACATCACAGCTGAGAGAAAAGTATAACAGGGTATGGAAGTCAGCTAGGACCCCTGTGTCAGAGTGATGCTCTTCCTTTGTTTACTAAAACAAACACCCACAACTTTTAGCCTTAGGGATATTGAGGCTGAAGCTCTTTAAAGGAGTTAGGGTGTTAAACTTCCCTGTTGGATTCTGGTAAGGGCTGGGAAGTCTAGTTTGGAATGCCACAAGAAGTTCCTGGAACATGGCATGTTTTTATTAAAATGCCAGAAAATAATTTGTACATGACTATCAGCTGTAAGACTCTCTCAGTGCAAGCAGAGCAGAGCCACTTGGCCCTTGAGAGCAAAGAAAACAAAAAAGGGAGGGGGGTCTGTGCTTGCAAAGTAGGTTAGAGGTGACTTAAGTAGGGACAGAGTCTAGGTGTGCTGCCTTTGTCATACAATGGCCTTTAGCAACTGGAGAGCATAAAAATTTAGAAGTCCTCATCTTTTAATTGATAGAAAAGTTTCAAGGTGATTTTATTCACTTCAGTAACCTTACTCTAGTAGTCTTCCCATTGCTACCTCTGCAATCCCCTTCTTTCCTAGTGTGAGTGTGTGATTCCCTACATTGTCTTCTTTGAATTTTCCTGACTTAGTGGGAGGCCGCAGGCTCTCCTCTGATGCTGGCAGAAGTCATGTGATCCTTCCATAATGACTTGTTTACTCTGGGTAGATTAATTTGTACCATTAGTCAAGTACAAAGGAAGTACTTATAGGAAAAACAAAGTTGCTTTAATAATTACTGCAGAAAGATGATGTAGCTTTTTAAGAAGAGGCCTCCTGACTTGCTAATGTCAGAACTTGAGATTTTCTCTGGTTGGGGAGGCGAAGACTAAGTCAGATGTCAGAAGCAGTGGTTCTCCACCACCTGCCCACCCTCAGTGCCCCAAGTTGAGAGGAGGATAAGAAGTAAACTTGCAGTGTTGTATGAACTGAGACTTCACAGCTGAGCACAAGTATGCTGACAATTCCAGACACGGGGGAGCTACCAACATGTAAGAAGAGGGTGCAAGAAGAGAAGGAAGAGGAAAGAGGAAAAGCATTCATTCAAAGACAGAAAATAAACTAGGAGAGTGATGAATGAGATCAGAGATAAGCAGCTTGGAAAAGAGGGGGAGATGGAAAGAATTAGGCTATACAGTGAAATCAGAAAAGACGAGGTATTCAAGAGCCTGTTGTTTATTTTTAAAAGAAATTATTGGACCTTAGTGATACCAGATTCTAAGGAGAGAGAGAGAGATTGTGTGTGTGTGTATGTCAGAAAGGCAGTGGAAAGTCATTAGCTTCCTACAACATAACAGCATTACCACAAGCTTAGTGGCTGGAAAAAATCACCTATTTACTTTTGGTTTCCGTAGATTAGAAGTCTGATCAGAGCCAGGTTCTTTGCTCAAGGTCTCAGGAAGCTGGAATCAATGTGTCAGTCAGGTTGCACTCTCTGGAGGCTCAATCAAGGAAGGAGCCACTTTTAAGCTGTCTCATGGTGTCAGCATAATTCATTTCCTGAGGCTATAGTATTCATGGAGGATTGCTTCTTCAAGTGAGCAACAGAGAGAAGGAATCTGCTGCCATGTTTCTAACCCTTCAACCTTCTTCTGAAGAGCTAAGTTGATTAGGTCATACCCCACAGGATAATCTCACCTCCCTCTCACCTAACCTGAAATCACCTGATTAGGGACTTTGGCGTCAGTCATCTGCAAGGGCTCTTCTTCACCTTTGTCAGGTTCTCTTAATTATAGTCAGGGCACAGTTTATTTGTTAAAAGTTATTTTTATGTCACTGTGAACAAAATACCTGAGAGATCAACTTTAATGGAGGAAAGATTAATTTTGCCTGACAGTTGCAGAAGGTATAGTCCATGATTGCTTGGCTGCATATACTTGGGGCCAGAAAACAAAGAGTAGGCAGAGAGGAACAGGCCAGAGCAAGACATAGTTCCAAGGACACACTCCCAGTGACCTCCTTCTTCCAACTAGACTCCATCTCTTGCTTTTCACCATCTCCCAGTAATACCATCATTTTATGAATCTACTAAGGGATTAATCAGTTGATTAGGTCACAACCCTGATGATCCAATCACTTCCCAAAATCCTTCAGCTGGGGGCCAAGCCACATGAGCCAGTGGAGGACATTTCATATTCAAACCACAATAATTACACTCACACTAAAGAGTAGGAGAGAGTTTTAAGGAGAGTGGAGAAAGTGTGTGGCAAGGGAGTTCCAGAGGTGTTCAAAACAAAGGAATCAGCAAAGTTGGGGTAAGAAGTGAATGGTGGAGAACACAAAGACACTCTTGAAGAAGAGGGAATGAAAGCACCTGAAGGAAGCCCACAGCACAGCACAAGGATTATTAACAGGAGAGGATGGAAGGAAATAAATCATTTGCAGAGTTAAGTGAAGACCCTCAGTATCACTGAAAAGGCATTTACAGAGAGGCAGTGAAGAGCTGATTCCGAGTTACTACTGAGAATTGTGTAGGTGCTTTTTCCTTCTTTCTGTTCGAAACTATTTATGTCTTTGCCCCTCTTTCAAAAAAACTCATTCATGAGAGGAACTCAGGAAAAGGATTTTTTTATTAAAAAATGAGCCCCTCACCTTTGGGAATTTTATAAAACTATTTTATGTCATGTTTTAATATTAGTATAAATTAGATAACATCATATTGTAAAAGTTTCATAAAATTCCCATCCAGAAAATAACTATCTATGCCTGTATTTCCCAGAGTTTCCCCTAACATTTTCCCTGCACTTTTCAAAGTTGTAGCCCTTGCATTAAGGATCTTTGATCTGTTTGGAATTGATTTTTGTAGAAGGTGAGAGATAGGGGTCTAGTTTCTGTCTTTTGTATGTGGATAACCAGTTTCCCAACACTATTTGTTGAAGAGGCTATCTTTTCTTCATTTATAAATTCTTTACCAAGCAGCTATTCAAGATATGGTGTACCATGCACAGACCCTGGAACAGTCTTAAAATGGCTTCATTCTTTATGTGAAAAGAGATCAGTCAGAAAAACAATTAGAGAACACTTTTTTATTATTAAAAAAAAAAAAGAACAAGCAAAAAAGTCCTGAATATGCTGTTAACTCTGACAGAGTGACCTTTTAAACATTAAATACTAATTCTACTACAAGTTCCAAATAAAAGGTTGCCATTCTTATAGTAACAAAAACATTATACTGCCTAGTTAGTGATATTTGGATTTAAATATATCCACTAACCATGTGAATCAGTCATATAAATACTGCCTAAATAGAGTTGTTTCTGTGTGGAACGTGTGCCAAGGAATTTTAAACTTCCTCAATTTGATGGAATTCTGGTTGATTTTCAATTATCTCTGATTTTCTGATAATTCTGGATTATGACAATGTATTAAAAATATTATATATATGGCAAAATTCTGTGCTGCAGATGTACATATGAATTTATATATAAAAGGAATATTGTGGGTGTGTTTGCTCAGAAACTAAGAAGTTCTGTGTGAGAAGTTTGAAATGTTTTCAATGCTTTTGGAGCACAACATTATATGGCAGGATCTTTGCATTAGGGCTGAGAAAAATTTTCTTAATATGTTCTAAAAAATCAAGAATTATTTTTCCTCTAGTCATAAAGCAAGATTTTGGTAAAGATAATTGTCTTCATGTACATCTTTCTGATGTGCTTAGTGAAATATGTGTGCATGGCTACTGTATGTATATATCTTAATATTCATGGGTATTTTGAATGGCTGATACTCCCCAAATTCATTAATCATTCATATTTATATTTTCTCTAACAGATTGACAGAATAAAGCCAATATTTTGAAAAGAAGTCTATTTGAAATCTTTAGAATCATTTGTGATTTCAGTTCTTGTTTTAAAGCCCAGGGTGACTTTTTAAATGGCAGAAGGATACATGTAACTGGCTACTTTCTTTTGTTAGTGTATATTAATCATACAAAGGAGTTTCATTATGATATTTCTATATAATCATATAATGCACTTTGATCAAATTCATCATCTCTGTTACTATTTTTTATTTCCTTGTCCCCTCTACACTGATTATTTCATAGCCCTTCTTTAGCTTCTTTTAGAAAATCATAAATTGGTTTTTCATTCCATGTTTTACTTGATATTGGATGGACAGCTGCCTTGTTTCCAATAGATTGTATTTATAAAGTACTCTGGCTTCTTTTGATATGAAAGAGCCTATTCCTTCCAGCAGAACACAAATCATTTGTTAAATGTTCATTAAATGTTACAGTTAAATGTTCATTCTGGCAAGTAGTTAGGGAAAATAAGCTAAAACTCCCTTTCTATCTTGGACTTTTCTTTCACTGTTGTAATTTATCATTCTGTGTTGATGTTGGGTGCTTCATCTTTTGAATTCTGGGTACTTTTTCAGGTTCACAGTATGTAGGAATATATTGCCCAAGATTTTTACAAACTTTAAACACTTGAAGTATGCTAGATTTTTGAGGTTGATAGCCAGTATTATTACATCATGGTTTATATTCTTATAATGGAAGAAAAATCATTTTTGTAAGTGAAGTTTGAAACTTATACTGATGGTGATTTGCATGTTTTTTTTTCAAATCGCATAATTCCAAATTAAGACAACCATTTTAAATATTGTCAATGAGTTATTTTCCAAATAGAAACAATGTAAAATGATCTGATCCTGATTGTTCATTCCAGGGAACAAGTGAAGTAAAGTATATGAAGCTTCACAGTTTATTTGTCTCTTATTTCAAATTCAAAACAATGTGTCATTGGCAAAACAAAAGTTCCTCCATTTTTATGGTATCACTTTTTTGGTAAACTAGTGGGATTGTTTGTGTAATCACATAGTTGCAAGAATATTTTGATAGTTTCATAAATAATGTCCTATTTCAATCTGTCTGTTTCTCTTTCCTCTAGTTAACTTCTTCTCCCACTACCTCTGAGCAGCTTGCCTGTAAACCACCTGCTTTCTCCTTTGCTTCTTCAACTAATCAGAAAACACCACCTGTCCCAGCTAACCTCAACGAAACCTCTGTTCTAGAGGAGTTCCACACTAGGAGGCTGGATGTCAGTGGGGCCTTGGTAGAAGAAACGGCCATGTATTTCCAAACTACTGCTCACTCTTCACCCTTTTCTGCACTGAAGGGCACCTCCTCAACAGTACCATTTCCCCATTCCACTCAACTACCAGAGTCTAATTTATCCAGTCCAAGTTCAGCAGAACAAAAACCTGGACTGACACCTGGAGTTCTGAAGAAGACGACTTCAGCCTCGCCTGTCCTTGGTCCCAAAGAAAGTCTGAGAACCTCTTCCCCTTCACCTTCCTCCGGGGCTTCTCTGAAGTTAAACTCAGCCTCTTACATACCAGTCCGTATCGTCACACATTCACTCTCTCCAAGTCCCCAACCATTTACCTCCTCTTTCCATGGCTCTTTGTCCACTGTTTGTAGCCAAATGTCATCTAGTGGAAATCTTTCAAAGTCAGGGTTAAAATCCCCAGTGCCCTCCCGGCTTTCCCTTCTGACTGCTATCCTCAAGTCAAATCCTTCTCATCAAAGACCTATGTCCCCCGCTTCCTGCCCCACCTTCTCTCTCAACTCCCTGGCCTCTTCTACTCTCACACTTGATCAAAAAGTAAAGCAAACCTCACCCTCACCCAAAAAGTCTCTCTCAAGTTGCTCCTTAGTTGCCCAGTCTCCAGAGCAGGGAGAGCACCAGCAATCCTCCCACCTGCCTTTCTTCACCAAGACTACTCCCCTTTCTCAGGTGCTCTCCCTCTCACCCTCAACACCTGTCAGTAGCCTTATCTCTTTCAGTGTAGAGAAAGCCCCGTCACCCACTTCTTCGAAGTCACCCACTTCTTCGAAGTCACCCACTTCTTCAAAGTCACCCACTTCTTCTTCAAAGTCACCCACTTCTTCGAAGTCACCCACTTCTTCAAAGTCACCCACTTCTTCTTCGAAGTCACCCACTTCTTCGAAGTCACCCACTTCTTCAAAGTCACCCACTTCTTCGAAGAACAGTACAACACTTTCCCCACTACAAACCAACACTTTGAATTCTGCAGACCTTCCTCCTGCCCCAGCAAGCTCTTCTCTTTCTTCTTCAAAGGGCAGACAGGATGGTGACTTTTGGGGTCCAGAAAAGCCCAGAAATACTGACACACACCCTTCTAACCTTGCCTTCTCTGCATTATCTTCTGCATCTTCCCCTGTTAATCCAAGTGCCCCACTCTCCTCTCCAGATAAATGTTTCCAACTTTCTCCAGCCCTTTCAGAGCTGATAGACAGAGCCAAAAGAGTACCACCCCAGCCATCAGGACGAATGCTGACTCCTTCACGTCTCCCTTCATCCCTCATCTCTAGTGCTAGCTCTGTCTCCCTTCCCAGTGTGGGGCTCTCTGCTCTCCCTTCTGCTACTCTGCCCACCAAAGCACTCCAGCCCAGTCCTTCAGCACTGCACCCGAGCTGTGCCAGTGGTACACTGCCTTCAAGAACTGAGAAAACTGAAAGCACAATATCCAAGCACAGGTTGCCTGTTTCAACCCCTTCACTTCCTGTCTCTCTAACAAGAACCAAGGAGCTGAGTTCACCTTATGCACTGTCCATGTCAACAGGCCCTGAAAATAAGAAAACCAAGGTATTTTTTTTTTTGCATATTGCATGTTGCATGCTTTTTTTGAAAAAATGGAATCATCTTTTTTTCTGGGAAAAATAAAAAATTATAAAATTTATTCTGTTCCTATGAGGAATTAGAGAAAGAAGGGGGAATGAATATCATGTATTCAAATGTACAGGTGAATTATAAGTCTTTCTAGATTTACATGTTTCTGTGTTTGATTTCCTCTTAAGGTAAGTTCTTATATGTATAACTCTAAGAGCATTTTTTTTCTGGAAATAATATGAGTTATAGCATTGGTCCCAGTGACAGAATCAAAGGCAACTAGCTGAGATTTGGAAATATGATAATTTGTGATTACCTAGTAACAGGGACCCTATTTTTGATCAAAATATCCTGTGCTGGCAGTACAGTAGATAGGACTAGTATAAACTGGAATATTATCTTGGCCTATGCCATGTCCAAGTCAGTTTGAAAGCTTTCCATTTCCCTGACCCACATTCATTTATAATTATTAATTTTCTTTCCCTCCTGTGGTTGACTTTTTTATTGCTACCCATACTGCAAGCTGAAGCAATGTGGATTTAGCTACATACGTGTAGGGCAAAAGGGAAGAGAAGTTTCTTTTCTATGTGAAAATTATTTGGGTTCCTATAAACACTAAACAGCTGGCAACTATGAACTATAGAAAGAATGAACAAGCTGTATAAAGAGAATTAGAAGGAGATGCAGCTTGTACATGCTCTGAAGCAGCCCCTTGAGCAAGGACGTGAAGAAAATTGATTTTAGTACGAAAGGGGAAACAGCTGAAGGGATGTTGTCATGTTCAGTTCTGCTGGGGAAAGGCAACTCTCTTCCAGGGCATGCCAGCTACCCAACTGTTCTCAGGTAACTCGGGATTTGGCTCTTCTACACTTAGAGTTTGATAGTTGTTTTATGAAGAAAATAAAATCATAAAAGTGCCAGTATCAGGAGGAGGTGGAAAATGTCAGCTCAGTGCATTGAAATAACGTATTCAGAGATCCGAAGTTCCAGGAGGAGTGTTTAATTCCGTCACTTTCAGATGACGAATATAAGGTGAAAAATAAAGCAACAGACATGAGCATGTTACTGATGTGGTGACAAAATTCAACTAAAAGAGCATGCATTGAGCACCTACTGTGTGCTCACCAAGCTTTCCTTGGAGTATATGTGATTTTTAAAAGGGAAGTAAGAGTTAATTTATCTTAAAAAAATCTAAATTTCATTTAGCAGAAAAAATGCATATACACAATGTAGAGAAACCATGAAGAGAAATTAAGCATACTATACAGCTAGAAAGTGAGTTGTCTCTCCTTGGATTGACTCTAAGACTCCCCTCACCCAGTCAATCCCAAAACCTACAGATGTTCAAGTCCTGTATTTGTACAAAACTAACACACATTATCCCACTACTTTAAATCATTGCTAAGCTACTTGTGATGCCTAAGAAAATGTAAATACCACATAAATAGTTGTTATGTTGTACTGCTTACAGAATAATGGCCAGAAAAAGTCGTATGTGTTCAGTGCTGACACAGTTTTTTTTTCAAATATTTTTAATTCATGGTGGGTTGAGTTTGTGAATGTCAAACTCAGGGACACAGAGGGCTGACTGTATGAGACAAAATCAATGCTTTGTAATTCAGAGTATAAATAAAATAATTGTTGACTGAGTTTAATATAACGGGAAGGAAGTTATTATAAATGTCAGGCTCATCAGAAATATTTAGGGTTTAGTTAATGAAGAGGAAAGGAGTTGGTATTTCAAGATGGAAAACAACCTGACCAAATACACAGAAGGTAGTCCCAGAGGACTATCCGAGGAGACGTGGGAAGATTTGCCTTATCATTGACTCATCTCACAATAATGATGAGCACAGCTACAGGTATCAAATGCTTTCTGGGAGTCAAGACTCATGCTAATAGTTACACAAAATAGTTGAAATGGATGGTATTTATATCTGAAATGGAATGACATTGGTGGCGTTATTACAAGTATCTTGTATATGACAAGAAACTGGATTTCAGTGAATAACATGTCCAGCCCACGTGTGCTGCAGAGCTGGCATTTGTGTTAATTCAAGTCTGATAATTCTTTTCTTATTCATTCATTCACATGTGCATACATTGTTCAAGTCGATAATTCTTGAAGCCCACGCTCTTTGTTACTATGATTTATTACTATGAAGAAGTAACTCATATTAATTATCAGGTTAGCCTGATTTTGTAATTCTTATAAGGGAAATCATTATTATGGACGAATGACCAGAATTCTCAATTTATATACTATGGGGGGTTCTAAAGTGTATTTTTAGAGATTAACTTCTTGCATTTGAAACTTCCAAACCAAATGAGATTTATAAAATTTAACTTTTTTATGATTCTTAAGTTTAAAATTTCTATTTACTTGAGGTAAAATGACCTTCTTACTAACTTTTTGATACATATGTGTGATTATGAAATTTGTTTGCGATACATTGGAAAAAAAACTGGCAAAGTAACTATTACTGCTTCCGGAAGTAACTGATTATCTTTTAAAGCTTCTGCCACACACCTAAATTATTTTATTCCCCAAGCTTCTTCAAAGTGTTTCAACCTGTGGTTCATGTGTTGTCCTGTTGTGGATACAGTGAGAGAGCTGGAAAAGGATGAGCACAGAAGGGTGGGTTTTTTTATTTAATGTACTGAATTTTGGACTCAGGACTTTGAGCTTGCAAGGCAGACTTTCTACTGCATGAACCACACTCCAGCCTTTTAATTCTCTGATTATTTTTGAGATAGGATTTCTCTTTTTTTTTTCCTGGCTGGCCTGGACTGTGATCCTCTTATGCCATGCTCCTCCCCCATAGCTGGGTTGACGGGCATGTGCCCTTCATGCCTGACTTTTTTCCACTGAAATGGGGTGTGGTGAACTTTTGGTAGGGCTAGAATCATGGTCCTCCTTCTAAGTAGCTAGGATTACAGATGTGAGCCACTGATTCCTGACTCCAGAAGGACTTTTGATAAATTAAAGGCCTGTATGTCAAAAACCTGTCTTTTCCTGGCTCTCTTCCTGCTCCTAACTTTGAAGAATTTTCAGCATTAGCTCTTTTTCTGTTTTATTTTCTTTATTCCCAAGTTAAGAAAAATTCAAACTTATAGAAATACATCCTAAAGTTGATGAACTTGAAAACAATCAAGACTATTATATACCTACCAGTAAAAATATTAATCTAGTCTTTTGGCTAGGAATAAAACTTCTTATCATTGGAAAGATTTATAACTTTTGTAAAAATAGTTAATCTCTGAGACATACTGTTCCTTTTCATCTTTATTTGCTACTTCCTTCTTGCTGTATTATCTGTCCAAGTTAAAATCAGAAAGTCAACTTACTATCATATTATGAACTACTATTCTTGGGAATTATACATTGATTATAAAAATCATTAAAATGGATGCTGAGAGAGAAAAATTAAATCCCAGTTTTTAACTTTTATTTAAATTGGCAAGATTATTTTATAGACTGAGAGGAGGAGATGGACAAAAGCTTTGTGACATCAAAGAATTCTTAAGCTTTCATGAGTTGTTTCTTACCTGGCTCCTTCCAGCATGGTGCTAATCCAAGCACAGGCCCTTTTTGAAGTCAGATTTAGATCAGCCTCACTCAGTCTCAGTTTCTGAAAGGATAGGGGTCCTAGAACACAGATGTTCATTAAATTAAAACAGAAATGCTTGAAGGATATTAGTTCAAAGTCTGGGTGCTACTGTGCTTTGATAGTAAAATAAAATGGAAAGCTAGAGTATGCCTAGCTAAATACAGACATAAAACATGTTTGTGTTTCTTTTTCATTGATAGAATCTTATGGTTCTGAATCTGTTTGCATTATTATTATATAATCAACATGTTAATTTCAGATATAGGTTTAAATATTATTTTGTTCAATATTCATGGCCCTAGACAGGGTGAGCACTATTGTCTATTACATTTTCCCCCTTAGAAAAGACTGGATAACACGAAAGTCACCCATAGTACTGAATTGGGTTCCCAGTATATTCTGCCTTTATTTGTAAAAAGCTTACATGGAAATTGGAGTCGCCATTACATCAAATGTTCATACAGTCTGCTACTCACTAAAAATGGTCTGAAGATCCCTTCCAACTGTGAATGCTTTCAATGGTGGGCCATTTTGAAGCTGTTTGGATTCATAACTTGTTTACAGAATCAGTTGGGAGCTTTTGACATTTCATGAGCCTTCATGTCTAGTGTTTATTTATTAAACTGTCATTCCTTTAAGGCATTGAAACACTTCTAATTATGTTACATTGGAAGTTTGGTGGCAGCAGGCAGTATGTGACTTCTTCATTTCTGCAGAACCATGTGACTTTGGAAATGAGCCATGTGAAATGTGCCTGCATGAGATAAAGTAATTAATCTGGGTTCAAACAAGTTAGTCCTTCAATAAATATGTATTGACTACTCAGTATGTGCCTCTTGAAGCTGTAAAAAATACCACAAGAAATACAACATGCAAAAATGCCTGCTCAGAGAAAATTTAAGTCCTATGGTGGAAGAAAAATGATCACCAGTAAACCTTCCAAATAAGAAATCAGTTATCTTGTATATTAGGGAAGCATAAGTGGTATGGAAAAAAGTATAGCCAGGTAAGGACAAGATAGGGAAGGGATGTTGTCAACAAGTTGACAGTTAGGATACATTTCTTTGAGAAGGTAACATGCAGGAGATGTCACGCACCTTAAGAGAGTATAGTGAGGGAAAAGCCTAGAGGCCAAAGAGTGCTTGATCAATAGGTGCAGGAATAGATGTGGTTGGAACCAGCATGGGGGCAGTGGAGTGAACACTAGGATGTTGAGGTTGTCGGAGGGAGACAAAATAGGAAACCAGATCCTGTAGAATTCTATAGGCCACTCTTGAGTCTTTGATTTTTACCTTGAGGAAGACCAGAAGCCACTGGAGGGTTTTGAACCAATACATAACACAGTCCTGGCTGCTGCATGAAGAGTAGACTGTACAAGGATGAGAGGGGAAGTGGAGACCTTTGTGATCATCTAGAAAAGTGATGATGGTGGCTCTGGTCAGGTCATGGCAGTGAAGATAAAGGTAATATTTCTGTAAATATATATATATACAGAATATATATATATATATATATATATACATAGCAGTCACCAATCATCAGGTTAGTCTATATTCTAATAAAAAATTCTTGTGCCTTTTTGGGGACTCCTGACTACCCATAGTCCTCCCACCCCTGCTGTCTGGCACGTCTATCTCAATACTAACCAGTTCTGTGTCCCATTCCCTTGGCATCTCTCCAGCTAGGGTCTCTGGATTGATTTTAGTGATGATTTGTAGACAAAGGCTTCCTTCACCCTGGGAGAGTACTTGCATTTTAATGGGGGAGTTTAACTCAAGGAAGAAACTTTTCAAAGGGAAAACAATGACAACAGGGATCCAAGTGCCTAAGTTCAAATGTTCAAGCTCATGTTAGAAAGGAAGATGTCTTCAGAACCCGGACATGTTAGAAATGCCTTCAGGATGTGCTTGAAGAAGGAAGAGGATCTCTAACCAGCCATGTTTGTCTAAAGCTGGAACAATAGATAAAGAACTGAAGTTTGTGCTTTTTCATGTCTTCTATCTTACTGTCATCTTCAATTAAATATTTTAGTTACTTCATGTTAACAAATGTTTGCTGAAAACTTGTTCACTGCTAAGCTGGTATTAGGTGTGGAAAATAAGGGGAGAAATAATACTAAAAAAATCTCTCATCTAAAAGACCTAGCAGGTCTTTTATAATTTAATACGTAATATAATGAAAAATTTATAATATAATGAAATAAATATTATATGTTTAGGTTGTTAGAAACACAGAGAAAAGATAAATTTGAGGTGGCAAGAGGTCCCAAGAAGGAAGCTGTCCAAATTTTCTCAGTAGCTACCTTTCCCATCTACCCTACTAGGTCCTGATCAACAGCCCGTTTTTGATAGTTCTGTTCCCAACAGCAACCCCTTCCATTATCAGGATCATTGTATAATGTGCTCTGCCAACCATCCAGATGTAAAGCAGATGAGTGGGCAAACTCTCCTATGAGCTGAATCAGGGCTGAGGTTCAGCTTTCATCTCAGGGCTGATTTAGGAAGAGTTCAAATTAAGCCCTGCAGACATGGCTGCTGAGGACCTAGATAAACATGTTTCATCTGAGGCTCTCATCTCTGCTCAGAAATGCTTCCAGAAGCAGTTGATCATGGTGGCCAGGAGGCTTTTCACGAAGACTTTCTCCTATTGTTTATGTAATATGAGGCTCTTCCACTCATCTGGGAATGTAACCGTAAACCCAAACCCCTTTCCTCAAGGCTTTTAACCTAGTAGTTTGCTTTGAGACCTGGTTTTTCATTATTGGACACATTGGTGGATTTTGAGGCTAACATTAGGTTCCCATGGTAGGTTACCTAATGGTGGGGAAATATTGTCTTAAAGGGTAGGATATGTTTTTGTCATCCTCAACTCTGCCATCAGCATTTATATGGAATAAATAACATTGCCTGTAAAAAGGAGTAACTGTGGCAAACTTAAGTACAAAAGTGCTATCTTCCTCTCTAAACCTAAATTTTTCCCTGCAAAAGTAAAGATTCTGCTTTTGCAGAGCAGACATCATTGCATTGTCTGTCAGATTCAGGTTTAGGCTGGTCATGTCTATCTACATTTTACAATTATCTGATGGTGATTTTAAGTTATAATTACCTTGCTGAGAACAATTTATAACTTTAAACCAAACAGGGAAACCATTGAACTTGGTTTAGCACCTAGAAGCCTTAGAATGCTGAAGAAGGAATATTCTAAAATAGAATAAAGAACTCAGGGTTTGGATCCAGCAGTATTGTTAAGGGAACTCAGAGGAAAAACAGGGGATCTAAAAATGATCTTTTATAGAATAAACACGATTTTCAGACTGAAGGGGAAATTACCTTTATGTCTTAGAGGACGACTGCATGTTGTGTAGTGGCTACTTAACAATTATTTGTTAAATGAATCCATTGGTTGAACTCCAATATACAAATAGATTTACAGGATGGATTAACGTTGCAAGAACCAGTAACAAGAGCTTCCTATCATATTAGTGTATGCCTTGAATAAAAGTAAAAATAACACACATAACAAAAATGACTCATAAACTAATAAAAACTTTTATCTTCAGTGTTTACAGTGAGGAAAGCAAATTTTTAAGAAGATTGAATTGAATCAAGATAATATCCAAAGTCTTGGACGTATCACTTAACCTTTGTTTTTCCTAATAAATTTTTAGCTATAGGGTTTCTGTAAAACTAAATGAGGCAATATTTGTAATTTTCCCTGTGATAAATGTCAGCTTCTATTGCCTATGAAGAGATGACATTTCATTTGAAGTCCTGATCCAATAGTTTGCTGTCTGATGACCACAGCACCACAGAGTCAGTGTAGAAATTTAGAGCTTGAAAGGACCCGAGATATCCTCCTGTAGTTGTCACTTAGGAGAACAGGGCAGCGCTGGTCCCAGAAGAACTGAAAGTGTTGCAGAAGGTCACAAAGCTTCTTCTTATGAAGGAGAAGGTTATTTGGGGAAGAGGAAGCAGAAGATATTTATTAGGAGTTCATTACTTGGGAGAAAAATGTGTAGCTTCTGAGATTTTCTGCATGTTTTGCTGGGTGGTTTCACATGTGCATGTGAGAGTGTGAGAGTGCATGTCAATTTGTGAGTACATACAAATGCATGCATTACCTCGTGTGTGAGTGCATGTAAGAGGATGTGTGTGAGGGTCAGTGTGATTATCTGACTAAGGTGGCTTTCTACATCATGTGCTGCTATGCCTACCTCGTGTTGCTAATTTCTTTTCATTATATTTAATATAGAAGGCAAAGAGAAAAAGAAAATGCAAAAAAGTGAATGCAGTTCTCCAAGTTTATTAGATATGTTTGTTCAAATCTACTATATGTATGTTCAAAATATCATTCCAAGAACCAACAAGAAAAAGAAAGGCAGAAAAATGTCCTAACATTTGCAGAAACATATATAATTCTTGACGTTTTTACATAAACATTGACTTCTTTTAAGCTTTACCCAAACCCTATGAATCAGGAAAGGTAACATTATACCCATTTTTAAAAAGGGAAACAGATTCAGGAAGTTAAGTGATGTGTTTGTGTGATGTCATAACGCTTGGCAGTCAGTACTGGTCAAGGCATCCCCAGTTTCCAACCTGCGGTGACATTCTTTCCACTACATGAAGCTTGTAATAAAGCTGTCTGTCTTCGGGCACATCACAAAAGTTGTTTAATCACATTTACAGGTCTGCTTTTCCTACCTTATTTTATTTCTCTTTCATATTTAGTATCAAACAAACTAGAAAATCTAAAAAAAGAAAAAGGCGAGAATGTGTTTTACCTTTAGCTGGACACTGATTTTGTTCTTCCTCTAGATCTGGCACTCAGATTTCTGTCTCCTTCACCTTTTTCTTAGGCAAACAAATGTGCCAGCCTCTTAGCTTCATCGCACCAGTTTAATGAAGGTTACTCTGATTACATCCATTAAACTCAGGGTTTAATTTTGTTTGACTGCCACCCTGTCTTCTTTGGTAGGCCCTTTGGTTTGCTTTCCAAGGAACAGAGACAGCCTGGCATTCTGTGCCAACTTCCCTGCAGATCTGAGCCACTGGGGATGTTGCCTAAACCCAGGACATTTGAAGTGATGGGAGACTTAAACTTGGTTAATGAGCTTGAGACCTGGAGTAGTATTAGAACTGGACTCTTGATTATACATTTTATCCTGATTTCTACAACTTCCTCGTGCTCACCTCTCATCCCCAAATAATCCACAAAATTGAACTGTAATATTCTGAGTTTTACTTAAAACTGATGGTGTTTTTATCTACTTTATGAACATCACTGAATTAGAAAGTGTAAGTGATGACAGTGATATATAAAAATTAGCTTAAGATCAGGGAGGTTGTACTCCTTCCTTTATGGAATTAAATTGCTGATATTACTTATATTAAAACTGCACTGCTGCTTGTTACAAAAAGAGAACCTGCTGCTAATTTAGTGTGGTGGTGTATGCCTGTATTCCCAGCATTAGGGGGGCTACCACAGGAAGATCAAGAGTTCAAGACTGCCTTGACTTTGTAGCAAGACTTTTCTCAAAACCAAAACCAAAGAATAATAACAACAAAAAAAACCTGATGCAAAATTGTATGTATTATAATCTTTTTTCAATAAATGATGCAATAATGTATCAAGAACTTAAGTTTATTGGCATGATATTTGTATGACACCATAAAAAAGAAATATTTCTTTGGGAGCCAAACAGAAAACCCCCTCACTTACTTATAGAATAGGGCTCCTACTACAGAGTGCAACTAACAAAAAATTTATACATAACTTTGTGGAAATGAATGTTTTTAAGTTGCAAAACTGGAAATTGCTTATGATTTCTAGGCTGATATTTTGCTGTAATATTTCTTTGCTTCTTTTCCTAATAAAACATTAGCATGGTGAGCTAAATTTTGTCTAAACTTGTGTTATGTTCTTCCTCCTTCTCATCTTCACTCTTGCTTTCTGGTCACCCATTCTAGCAATACAAGACCAAGTCAAGCTACAAGGCTTTTGCGGCAATCCCTACAAACACATTGCTTTTGGAACAGAAGGTCAGTGTTGGCTCAGATTCCGAGTGAATTTTTTGTTGCTAATGTCAGTTTTGTTATGTTTTCTAAAATTTCTGCTGGGAAGGTTTTTGTTTTAAAGTTCTGGCCTTACTGAAACACAAACTGCTTTTAGTTTAGGATGATGTGATGAAAACATCTTGGTTCACATAATTGAATTTGTCAATCAAATTCTAGTGACATTGATTTGTCACTAGAGGCTGGATATGAGCTTAGAGATGTCCAGTCCACTGCCAAGGAGCCTTAAGAAGCTCGTTCAGACTGGGGCAGATCCAAGTCTTTTGCAACTTTTTAAGTAGTTGTTATATTCAAGATCTTTCACCTGTATTCATATTAATCAAGAGTCAAGGTGAAATGGGATTTTATGGGCTACCAGCTACCTTAGTCATTGACTGATCAAGACCAGAGGACTACCACTATACTATCTAGACATTCAGATCCTCTAGCTGACTATCCATCTTAACCCCATTGATAGATCCCATCATGAGCTAAACCTCTTCATCCATTCCAGCCACCGATCCTACCTGCATGAATAAGAGGGAGGCTTGTGACCACATGGCTCTGGGGCACTTGTACTTTGTTATTAAGCATAATTAATTATAAAATTACAGGGCAGTACTTCACCAGGTAAATTAAAGTGAAGTCACTTACTCAGTAAGCACATTACATATGATCAAATGAAAGTCAAATGAAGGGTTCATATCAAAATCAATGTGACATCAGTGACCAAGACTGTTAAATTATACATTTCCTATATTATTTTGTGGTGATTTATTTAGACTATTTATCTGCTAGTGCATTAAACCCATTTTCCACTGTATGTAATTATCATGTTTCAAATACTGTTGCTATAATTTTTCAGAAAATGTAACGTTTATCAACCAGGTAGTATATTGTTCACTGGTTTATGAGCCTACACTCCTGTTCTCTCAGTATGATCTGGAGAATAAACCCTTTGTATGATCTCTTGCCTAAAAGTAAGAACTGTTAGTGGGGAATGCTAAGTAGCATAAAAGTGAACCATTTCTTATAGCATGTATCTCTGGTAATAATTCCAAATTATCCATGTATGGTCTGGAATCTAAGGTCCATGTGTCTAAGTGGTTAGCCCTGCAAGGTCATCTGTAGGTGAAACACCTGCAATTTATTCTCTTTTTTCTTTCCTGAATTTCATTATATCTAATTGTTTGCTTGCTAAAAGATGAGATGGGGCTGAAACATCAGGAGCATGTAGAAAGTGACACTTGCCCCATCACTTCTCATCTAACTGTCGAGAGCCATCACTGAGTCATGGTGTCAGTTTTCCCACACCACAGGCCATCTGTTGTTTTCAGGTGGTTCCCTCTGGAATCTGGCCCTAAGTGTGGACCCTCACAGATGGGGGAGGATATCTGTCACAGCAGTGAGACTGAGAAGAGAAGCACGGTCACACAGCATGTCATGGAGTCCGCTCTTCCTATTTGCCCCACATAACTGGGGCACGTTTCTCCTGGAGCCATGCAGTGCTGCTTGTCAATTGAAAAATGGCAGGACTTCTGAAAGTCTTCTGCGAGATTAGCCTGGATGTCAATATCTGTTCCAGAATCTCTACCAGCCTTCTTCTCTTCTAATTATTGGTTTATAGTGATCGTAGTCTGTTGGTTGTTAGAAATGAAAAATCTTTAATTTAATTTCCAAATTTATCACAAGCCCATGGTGGTATTAGTGTACATTTGACCCAGACAAGTTCACATGGCACAGGTTTTGTGTTTTTAATTTTAAATAGAATATTCTGCAGGAAAATGACTACTTTTATTTTGGAACATTAAATGTTAATCATAATTAAAAATAATGTATTTCAAGGGGGAGTGGATTGTTCTATAAGCATTAGTGTAAGCAATTGCTTTTTGATCAAGGTAAATTGTCTTAAGACCATAAATATTTGAGTTATTCAAATGTTTCTTTATTCTTCAGATTCCTTACATAATTCTACACAGTTTCTATAGACTTTTCCTTATTACATGTTTTTCAATCAGAAACTTAGTAAGAATTTTTAAATAACAAAAAACCTGTCTAAAGATTTTGGGTTCATTTCCATTTCCAACATTTCTTTAATGATATTGTGTTGCACCTTTCAGTGTTGTAGTTTTAAAACATAAGCTTGACAATTTAGTCCTTTTTATGTTATACAATAGAATTCATTCTATGTCATTGAAATCAAAGGAATTTATTTCTGAATTGAGTGGAAAAATTGGAGCTATAATCATCATAAACACATCTATTTTGGGAAGAATCAATGTTTTGGAATACTTTCAATCACAGAATCCTTTCTGGGTTTCTTTTGATATCACACAGAGCAGAATGGGTATGATGACATCGCAGTCACTCAGTCAGTGTTCATGATGTGGAATGCCTTGGAAATAGAACTCACATATATAATTCAAGTCTTAAATATTTCAACAATCATTTCTTCTCCAGCCAGATTATACCCATAGTGGAAACTTTTTTCCAATTCTTTTTCTATAACGTATTGCATAATTAATAAGAAACTAGAATCACTTTTTGACTATAGTACTACTTTTTAAAACAAGACTTTCTGCAAATTGAAATAGAGGCATCCCTTGCAATGAGATGTTAAGCTATCATTAAATGACCGAATTTTGTTTTGGCTCTAATCAGCCTTGGATGAAGCCCACTATTTTTAACTGAGTACATTTTGTTGGCAGCAGACATATAGTTCTGGTACTTCTGTTTTTAAATTTATTGTCAGCATCAAAAACTTAAGTTTATAGACTATTCCACATTTTATCATTTTCCCCCTGTGAACATTTAAGAAGAAAGCATTTTTAGTTTAAGTCTTAGGTAAAGCTTTGTAGGAAGAGATAAGCATAAGGCATCATATCTTAATAAGTCAGCATCGGGGTCTTTGGTTTAAGCTCCTATCAATAATCACCTCCTCTAAGAATGACATGAGCATGAAATATAAGTGATTGTAAAATAATCAGTTCTACTTATGTTGGAATTTCCCACAGACTATGTTTAATGCATGTTCAACAAGGTACCAAGGTCTATGGATAAAATAACTTTGATGTAGATATATTTTTAGTCTCAATGTGCGTACTCTTGTCCATTTCAGAGAAGGTTCAAAGCCTCTGTCTTATTGACTATTTTTTCTTCTTATCATCTGAGTCTGATAGTGATAGACAAAAATTTTAAATGAAATTGTGGGCACATATTAATATCACAAATAAGTGGATTATTACTTTTATTATGCAATTATTTGAAGGAAAGAAAGAATGAAGGAAGGAATATGAAGAATATGTATGTGAATTCAAATTATATGCACTTTATTGTCCTACACATGATTACTGTTATTTCATGGAAGAATAATCCATGGAAGAATAATTTTTTTCCTTAAAAGTAACTCAAATATCCTATTCCCTTCTTTATAAGTATTCAGCAGGATAAAATCAGGTTAGGATTAGGTACGATTTTCCTAATAAGTGCTATTACTGTCTGCCATTTTCAGACACATTTAATTTATAAGCATGTGTGCCCTTGACCAAATTCTAAAATAGCTCAATTTTATGTGTCAAATAAAAATTATAGAACTATTTAAATGGAGACTTGAGGCATACATTCTTTTTTTTTTTCCTCCATGGTAGAGGAAGAGAAAGGATGTCAAATTTGTAGTCCATAGTAAAAATCATGTATAAAATAGAAAACCAAAGATTTGAACTATCTTGTCAGTTGTCAAATCAATTTATTCTAAGTTGCCTGTTTAATTTTTAAATCAAGAGTTGATAAGCTGTAATCTGATTAAACATATATCTTTGGTGAGAGTATTTTAAGAACTCTGCATGTCTCAAAAATGTAATAAAACCCAGTTGCTAATTTAGCACATGTGTTCTTCTAAAGAGACATCATTTGATTTAGAACAGCACAAGAGGCAAATGTGTTCTGAGAGTCAAACCTGTGCCAACTGCTTATCCCCAGGTGGTCTCTGCCGTGTGCACATAAAGTACATTCATGTCACATTCAACCATGCCTACTTAGTCGTTTGTTTCTCTTCCATGAGCATGAACCTTTTCAAGAAGTTTTTGGTAAATGTTCACTGAATGAATAAATTTAGTTTGGGATTGGATATGTCTCTAGACATTCCTATTTTATTTCACAGGATCTTTTTCTCCCCCTTGGTGCTGGGGATGAAACCCAGGGTGTTGTGTAGGCTCAGCAAGCTTTACACCACTGACCCCGATCCCAGTCCATTCCACAGGATCTTAAGGCAAGTTTTTGTTCATTGGGTTATAAAAATTCAAGAGGCCTTGGATTTTGATAAAAGTAGAAAAGCCTGTAGGATAGAAGAATCCCCAGCAGCTCTACTTCATTAAGAAGCTGTACAAGGCCTTCTGCTAGAAGGAGAGGTGTTGACTGGATAAAAGGAGCATTCTTCTCATGCTCGTAATTAAATGAAGGGACAGTATGGATTTTGCTGCCATTGAACTTGATGGAATGGGCTTGAAGCTGGGTGTAATACACAAAACAAGCAAAACTATACAAACAATCCCCCCACTTCCCTTCTGTGTGGAACACACAGTTAGTCTTCCAAATCTCTTGGGACTAAAAATACCAAATACCAACCCATCAAATGAAAATAATCTACCTGCAAATATTCCTAGATCATAAAGGAAACAGTACATTTATGTATCTGCAAGTTCCCTTGACTTGCAGTGTGCTTCCTCACTTAACTTAAAAGCTCAATGTAATTTGGACCTGAATCCCCAAAAAGATAACCAGAGTCAGATTTATTTTTCTGAGAATATCTACAATTCTACAAATGGTTTTGCATTACTGAAGCATATCGGGTGTAGGCCTCAGGAATTTATTCTATCAAATGGCTGACCAGATTAATAAAGTATAGAATCATTTAGGCTTAGCATGAATCATATTTAGGGGTTCATTTGATCATTACTAAATATAGTAGCTCTTGCATGAAAAATCTGAAG